ACAAAACACTCAGACCTAATCATGAACCTACTCTGAAAGACCGTTGTGAAGGAAAGCACTTTGTGGGGCAGGCATGTGGGGCAGGCTCTGTTTAGGGTATAGGGTTGGCTCATATAGGGTTGGTTTTGCGTCCTTTCTTAACAGCTGCTCAGAACTGAGACATTTTAACAGCCGGCTTTGACTTCATCCCAGGGAAAAGTTATAGATGTACATATTTCTGCAGAAAATGTATGCATTTAACATAATTCCTATCATAAAGCAATGCCCAAATAGCATGTAGTAAAAAAGGAAAGAAATCGATTTAACAGTGGCATACAAATTCGAAAATATACAAAGTTCAGAACCACCTGATTGCAAAACAAGGAAACTATTCCTCAGGGGTGGGGGGGTCTCATATCCCCTAATCCTTCCTTTTCTTTTCTGCAGGTCAGATGAATGTTTCCTACAGAATTTGATGCTGCCATGGCTGCAAAGAAAACTAAGTAAGTAAAAAGCAGTGATTTTGAAAGTGACAAGGCAAGTCCGGAAGAAGAGTGGCTACAATTTTAAGGTTATATATACCATGGCAATCCCAGCAGCGGGGCAGAGTTGCGGCTTTTTGGTGCTGTGCACCTTTCATGCAGGTAAAGAGCATGATCTTTGGAAGAGGCTACTTTTCCCCAGGGACGAACAAATGAAAATGTGCTGCTTCCCAAGCGTTTGTCCTGAGCACACGCATCGTGACAAGTGCGGCTTTTCAAGGGTGCGTGGCGAAAAGGCTTCCCTCTTCCAAAGCCCGTTCTGACAAATGGGCATTTTGCCATCATGAATTTCAGGCTGACAGTTTGCCTACACATCTCACACGCATCCTGCCGGGGACAGGGATGCAATTCTGCAAGGCAAGCTGCTTGGACAGGTGAACCCTAAATGGCAGATTTTTCACCGCAAACCAGTGTAAATAATTGTTTTGTTAACAGATAACCTTCCGCTGGCAAAGCAGCTTTGGTGTGGGCTGGGAAGAAATTAAAGCTGGGCTACACTGGGGATGCACCGAGATGTGGAAATCTGGCAAATTTCAGCTCAACAGATTTCCGCCTGCTTCTCGTTGGAAGTGGGCCAAGCCAGGGCTTGTGCTGTTTGTTTTGCTTTTTGCAGACTTCCAGCCCCAAGATGGGCTGCAATTTGCTCACTTAAAAACAAACACCCAACACACAAAGCTGAGGAAATTTCAGAAATCTGCCCTGTTTGGCACAAACCGCACAGAAGCCACGAGCTTGGGGAGTGGCTGTGTTTGTAAACGTCATTAGAAATTTAGTGCAAACGGCAGTCTGTCTTAGTCACAAGGAGTCCACGAGCTGGTAGTGGACTTGGCTTGCACCATGGTAGTGTGGGGATAGTGAATTGTAGAGCCCAAGTCATGAGAATCGATCTGGGTTTCCCCATGCCCTGCTGGACTGTGTCATCTCAGGGGTGAAGGGTCACCCACCCACCCTCTCAAGAGGCTGTGAACAGGGAGCTCTCAGGGATGGGAAAGCCCCAGATTTATTCTCAAGTAGGATAGGGGAAATTCAGTGTAACTTCGAGTGTTCCTACTTTCAAAAGCTCCCTGTGGTCGTGCCCACGAAGAATCCTCAGTCCTTTTCCAGGCAGCTACTGGGGGCGAAGGAGGGGGGGCGGAGAGGATGATGGGGAAGGGAGACAAGGGGGTGCCTGAAAGAAGGGCCAGTGAGAGACGGAGAGCGAGAGCACAAGGTGTCAGGAAGAAGCTGTTAGAGAAAGAGAGAGAGATGGGCTATTGAAAAGAAAGAGGAATGAGGTGTCACGAACTGAAGGAGGGTGACGTAACGAAAGAGAGAAAGGAGGATAGGAAGAAAGAGATAGAAACTCTTGGCATAAGGCAGATTTCTCTGTTGCTATAAGACCCTGCGATTGTTCTGCTTGCTCGACAGCCCAAGTTCAAGCTGCAGCGTCTTCGGGGAGGGTGAGAAAAGGGCAAGTTCTGGAACTGTTGAAGGAAAGGGATGCGGAATGCCAACAAGGGGAAAAATGGGGACCCCGTCCATGTGGAGTTCTGGCTCCTCCCACCACTGGCTTGGGCCCCACCCACTGCCCACACGTGGTCCTTAAGAGAAGACCCCGGAGGAGTCCGTCCATCTCTGCTCCACTGCTACAGACCCTAGGAAAGGGATCCCAAGGAGCTGAGGGGCTCCCTGTGAATCAAGCCCCTCTCCTTCCACCGGGACATGAGGGGCTCCCAGGATGCCTTGAAGGAGACCCCCGAGCAATTTGGGGGCCATTCCCTGGAAAATGTTTCTGCTTCCCAAGTGGCCATCAGACAGAGCTTTTCTTTCAACAATGACAAGATTCTCTCCCCTGATCTCTCCTCTCCTCTTCATTTATCTGTGACCTTCTCTTCTTTTCTTCTCTTAGTTTCTCTTCTCTGTGACCTTCTCTCCTCTCCTCTCCTCCTGTGACCTTCTCTTCTCTTCTCTTCTCTTCTCTTCTCTTCTCTTCTCTTCTCTTCTCTTTGACCTTCTCGTCTCTTCTTTCCTCTCCTCTTCTCTGGGCTTCTTTTTTTAATGAAAAAAAATCAAGATAAATGAAGACTCTTAAATCAGGGACTTCGTAATGGGTGGTCCAGGAAGCTAATTTCGAGCATTTGATTATTTTTCCTTGCTGGTAGCACAGTAGACCCAAGACCTCAGCAGGAGGCCTAAGTTCAAATCATTTACAAGCCAAGACATGATCTGGGAACAAAATTGTCTTTAACATGCTTGCCCCTCGACCCTCCACCCCAACTTGACGGGGCGCCAAGGGGTTTCTCTCCCCCCCTCCCTCCTTTTGGTTTATTTTTATTATTTTCTCAGAATGCAGCCCCAGCTGGGTACTGGGGCATTCCACGTTCCCGAGTCACCAACGGAGGTTAAATAGAGTCATTCTGGATAATTAAACCAGTCCTGGCGATTGCTTTGGTGACGACTGACGGTGTAATCTGAAGAGTTAATCAGCTGAAGGTTTAAAATAAATAGATGGGGGTGGAGGCGAAGAAGTGACACAGAACGCCAACCAGGAAGCAGTTGCATCCCGAGGTATCACCCAATAGGATGCAAAAGGACCTCGCTAGAGAGCTGTCAGGAAAAAGTCAGAGGGAGGAAAGATCCCTGCCCAGGCTCTTTTCCCCAAACATTGTTTGGTGGTTGCCTGCATTTTGCCTAGTCTTAAACCCTATTCTCAGCAGTTGAAATGTCTCTCTGAAGCTTTGCTCCTGGCAGGAAAAGTTTCAAGCTGGAATAATTTTGATACTTTAGCTCCACCACCTTCAGTTCCACCCACGCAGCCCGTAAGAGTTTCTCCAAAATGGGATGTGGCCCGTGGGCCGCAAGGGTTCCACACCCCTGATGAAGAGTTACAATTGGAGGAAGCTTCCAGGTTTTGGTGGTCAGGTCCTGTCACACTGGTCCTGTACTGTCTATGCTGGCTGCCAATTGAAGTCCGGGCCCAATTTAAGGTGCTGGTAATGACCTATAAGGCCCTACATGGCTTGGGTCCTGGATACCTGAGCGAGCGCCTGCTTCCCTACGTGCCGGCCCACCCCCAAGAGCGGAGGCGGAGGCCCTTCTCCGGGAACCCTCTTTGAAGGAGGTCGGGAGGGCGGCTACTCGGAGAAGGGCCTTCTCTGAGGTGGCACCCCGACCATGGAACACGCTCCCCAGGGAGGTTTGCCTGGCGCCGTCGCTCTATTCCTTTCAGCGCCAGGCAAACACCTTTTTATTTTCCCAGTATTTTAAAAAATTAACTGGTTTTATCTTTGATTTTATCATTCATGGTAGATTGCAATGTGTTGTGTGCTGTTTGTTGTATGTGGTTGTTTTGTTTTGCTTTTTGTAAGCCGCCCAGCGACTTTAGTATTGGACAGCAGATAAAAACTTTAAATAAATAAATAAATAAATAAATAAATAAATAAAGTAGCAGAAGGTGAGTTATTTGGTTGGTACCATACAACGCACTGACAAACCTAAAGAAATACTGGATTATATGCCCCCAACACTTCCCAAAATGTTTTGTGCTGTGTGTGTTTTGTGAAAGTAATCAGTAAATGTCATATCCAGTCCGGTATCTGAGTTGGACAACCTGGCCTGGTCCATTTGGTGAACTCCTGGGAACAGGTGTATGGGCACCTCTGCCACAGCTTCTTCCAGCTTTCCTTCCATCACCTGCTCACATACAGAACTGGATTTTGCCGTTTACCCTCACATAGATCAGTCCTACCAAAATGCATTTTCATGCTTTGGTCTACAGGAAGAAAGATAATTGGGTTGGCGGGTTTTGCATTGTTTGTTTTGTGAGTATTCTTCTGTGATGCAGTGTGCCTTGTATTTTGGAAGATAAGTTTCTTTAAAGTCTGCAAGCCTGTGGAATCTGTGCAATGCAGGGAAAGCAGGTCCACTGAAGAATCCGTGGGTGGGATTCTGGGAGACCTGAACTCATTTGGGACCGTTGTGGCTTTCTCTGATGGCACCCACTAGTGTGATGGGGAGTGGGACCTCTGGCAGCTGCGCAGGAAGTGTGCCTGCACATGCGCCTCCACATCACACCCAAGACAACAGAGATGCATTTCCACACATAATTCACTTACCTCACGTGGCTGAGCCACACTTCAGGTGTCTTCCATGCTCCTAGCTAAAGCAACTTTTTTTTCAGAATCATGTGGACTAGAATCTTATTTTCATTTTTGCCCAGCAGAGGAGTTCATGCTTTGCATGGGGAGGCCTCCAGGTGTATTCCCAGCCTCTCTGCTTGGAAGGCTTCAGTCTGAAACCCAGATACTGCCGGCCAGAGTGTGTTGTACTAAGCTCAGAGGACTATACATCTGACCCTCGTGCCTATCTTTAATTCCCGCACACCCTTTGGTGTACCTACCCAGAAGCTCTTGCAGCTGCATCTCCCATCCTGGTCCCACCACACCAGGAGCTCCCTCACCCTGCTGAAAAGATGGCAGCCAGCCAGCTTTCAATACTTACATATGTAATAATATTCGTGTCCCGGCCTGAATTCGAACCCCAGCGAGAAAGGGGTAAAGAGTTGAAACTTCTCGGAGAACTTCAGTGGCCCGTTGGGTGAGTCGGGCCTATTACACTCCCAGCGCTTGAAGCCATTTTGCCGATGGTCGCAGGAGTCGTGTCCTTCGTAGTTGACCATGTAGAGGATGTACCGTTCCATCCGGTCCATGGGGAACGGGATCTCATAGTGTGGACAGTAAATATCTAAGTAGTCATTGATGCTGACCTCCACGGTGTAGTCCCCCTGATGGAACCTGCAGTGCGGGACACCAAGGACAGCACAGAAATTAAGGAAGAGGGCCTGCCCCCATTCCCAGCATAGGAAACAGGGCAGCTCGAGACCTTATTTATTTGAAACAGACTTGGAAGGGCGTTGACCAAGCTCCAGACCAGCTTGGTCACTCTTCAGCGGGGGACTCTTGCAATGGCAGCATCTTTGTCCAACCTCGGCCTAAACACTTCCAAAGAGTCTACTTTGCCCAAGGAAGCCTACCGTGTCCCCGTTCAGTCTTTTCCATGGCCAAATCGTTTTTCCCATCAGGACCGTTCTCCTGAAGCTTTGCCGGAAACTGCATTTCTGGAATTTCCACTCGTTCATTCTTACCCTGCTGTCTTGGGGCAGCCTAGAGAACGTGGAAGCATGTTCAATGGGGGACCCTGCTGGAGAGCTGAAAGCAATCAGGCCCCCAAAGCCTCCAGAACCTTCACTTCCCCGATGCAACCAGAATGGGGCCCTCCAACCATTCCTCCCAGGCTTGGCTTCCGATTGCCCCATCCTCCCCCTTGAACAGTGCAAGATGTTTGGCTCTGAAAACCTGAAAGCAGTTTAGGCTTGTTGGCATCCAAAACAATCTCCGTTTTGGGTGATGAACTGCTTTCCCCTTCCAAACAGGACCTAATTTTAACTCCAGTGGAAGGGAATGCAATCACAGAGCGACAAGGGGTTAGGGTGCACCAAGGGCCTCATCCTGCCAAGATGCGGAAAGATGCGTGATGCTGGATTGAGAGCTCTGCGCCAGCAGCAAAGGGCCAACATGCGGAAGTTGGAAGTGTATTTTTACTAAATCTCTTACTGTCCAGAACTTGGCCAGAGGAAAGGCATTGAGACCTTTTACCAGGGGGTGGGGGGTATACAAACTCTGGGATTGGTGGTTGGGGGAAAGGGGTGGGGCAGGGGCAAAGATGGGGGTGTGGCAATCTGTAGAAACCTCACCCGCCAGATGAGTTTCCCATGTGGGGCAGATCCGGCCCACAAATCCCACTCAGTCTCAACCAGCCTGGAGACGCCAACACTGGAATTCAACTGGAGTTCTTTTCAGCGCAAAGCCAGTCTTCCGCCACTGAGCGACAGCCCTCTCCTTAAAATTAAGGCAAGATTCCAGTCCTCATGGTTCTGAATGGAGGGCTGATTTTGGGATGGACACAGGAAAGCTGTCTGTATGATCATTCCATCCTCTTAGGTTTTTGCAAACCCTTAGCTGGAATTAAACCTGAAACCTTAACCAGGGCACTCCATGCAACCATTGCAAAATTGAGGATGCATTGTATCTGCTGTTGTGGAAACCCATGGATTCAAAGGAACTGGGTTTCCTTTGGATCAGACCTGAGGATTCCACCACAGACTGCCCTTTTCTGAGTTACTGTGCATTTCACAGACATGTGAACCATTTTAAAATCTGTGGATACCACAGCAAGTAAAAGACAGAAGGAGAAATAAAAGTTCAAATAGGAGATGGGTCGATTCCATCAAGGAAGCCACAGCCTTGAACTTAAAAGAGGTGACCGATCACGGACAAGACATTTGGGAGGGCTTCCATGCATGGGGTGACTGTAAGTCAGAGACAATTGACAACATAGACAAAGATGAGGGGCATTAGCACTAATGCACATGAATGCAACAGACCATTCCCAGGCAGAATTAAATTCTCCTACATCCCCTAAAACTAAAATCCAAACCTGTAAACAAGCGAACAAGAGAACAAAAGACGAGTTAGGAAATGCATGCGGCAAATCCCTCCAGCTTCAGCAGCAGAAAGTTCTGGATCTCTCTGGCTCTTCCGAAGAGAATTTGGGAAGTCACTATTGCCAAGGCAGAAGTGTCCCATGTTCTGGGTCCCTTGCCAGAGACTGATCTGATGCCTGGAGACATCCAAAGTTCAGCAAGGCACATCTCAACAGCTTCAGCCTGGAGAGACCCAGGCAAGACTTACCAGCTCCTCCTGTATCGGCACGATGCACCTAATCTTCCTTCTTCCCATTAATGTTACGGAATTAAACTAAGCACCTCTTAAAATTAATAAACGGGCAACGGCTGCTGATAGTGGAGCGGGCAGCGCCACCTCACCTCTGTACCTTCCAGGTATGATATTCAGTGGCACACTCCAACCCTAGAAAGGGGCTTGCATTTTTCCATGCATGTTGGGGACCGATTATCCAGGAGATTAAGGGGTTGGCGAAAGGAGAAGCACAGAACCGGGTCTGGTTTTGGGTGGCGAGCAGCGAATGGCTCAGGACACCGTTACTGATCGCTTTCCGCTTCGAATGTCAGCTCAGCCCAGGGAGCGGCAGCCTCAGGACCTGTGCTGTGCCCCACTGGTCTCCTTTGATCCCATAGATCTGTGCCACCACAACGCCCCCTGGAGGTGGGGGATCCTTTCATGCTGAAAGCCCCAGAGAAAAAATGCTCAGGGGCTGTACGCCAGTCATGGGTCAGGCTTCTCTTTCTCTGCCACCCTTTCCCAAATCCCCTTTCTCTCCCCCCCCCCATTCAAATCCCACTGCTCTGCCCCCTTTTTCTCACTCCATTTCTCTCTGCTTCCGCCCCACACTTTGCCTCCCTTCCCGTTTCCGCCAGCCGCTCTTTCCTCCCCCTTTTCTGTTCTCTCTTTCCACTGCTCCACCTTTCACTTCATCTTCCTTCTTGCTCAGAACAGAACATGGGTCTCTTGCTGTGGGATCTTCGGCAGGGGCTGTGGGGGACATGCCGTGGGGCCTGCATCTGCCTCTGTCTCCAGGCAGGAGCACGCGACCCCGTCTCCCGCCACCAACCCTTCCCACTGCAGCTGCAGCTCTCCAAATGTCAAAATGGGTTGGGGGTCTCAGCAGACCACATTATTATTATTATTATTATTATTATTATTATTATTATTAGAACATTTCTATGCCGCCCCTTGCCAAAGCCTCGGGGCGGCTTACAAACACAATAAAATACAATAAAATACAAAAATGACAATATAAAATTAAAATTAACAATATAAAATAAATAAAAATATAAAATATATAATAAGTCGCCCTGGCCAGATAAATAAGCAAATATTGTTAACAATTAAAGTGACGTTTAAATAAAAAGGTCTTCACCTGGCGCCGAAAAAGAAGTAACGACGGCGCCAGGCCAGTATTAGTTGCTCCTGGACTGAGGGAAGTACAGAACAGCAGCTCCTATTTTAATAGGATCTGTTTTTCGTTTGTGGAAAACTTGTGCTGCATTTTAAAAGCACGAGCCCAAGGCCAGGCTGCTGGGAAGCACCTTTTGGCATGGACCATTTCTGGGGTGGGGGGGTGACTGGGGAACCCCAGAGGCATTTCATGGAAAGTGCGGACCGTGAGCTGAACCCTCTGCAGCCTGTCCAGTAATCTGGCTCCGAACACGACAGCTTCAGCACCAGCTGGCAGTCCAGCTCAGCACCTCAAGCACGCGGCTGAGTGGAATATTCTCGGCCGACCAAAAGCCTTCCAGCAGGGCACCGAAAGCAGAAGCGGGCAGGTGGGTTAGCATGGAGATGCCCTCCGTCACTGCCCCGTGGGGCTCACTCTGTGGGGTGCCCTTACGCACCCCCCAAAAAGCCGCACAAGTGCTTCACAACCCTGAAAAGGTGAAACAACCATCCCAGGTTCCAAACAGATAATAAAAAAGCCCCAAAAAATCTTTGCAGAGCTTGGGGTGAGGGTGGCACCCCCAACCCAAAAGGTCATTCAGTTTGATGGCCCGCTCTACCAGTTTCTCTCCCTCTGCTCCCAGATACATCCCTGTTTTCTGTTCCCCGGCTCCCACCCTGATGCAACTTTCTAGCTCTGAGTCCAGAGCTTGACTTCACAGCGGGGCACATGTGAATGTCAACTTTAGCTTCCTACTTTGTGTGGAGTGGTGCAAAGGAAGAGGGGCAGCTCGCAAGACTCCCCGTGGGGCATCAACACCCCCATTTCCGTATCCCACATGCTCTCAAAGGGCTCACGAACATTGGTTAGAATTTAGTAACTTTATTTGCAACGCTGGAAGGCTGCACCTGAGGGCCTTCTTGGCCCCTTCCAAACCCACCATTCTATGAGTCAATGATTTCGTTATGAAGCGAAGTCCTGAAGTGCTTCTCGGTGATGCAAAAGCAGATGAAAAACAGGACTAATCCAATTCCATTAAAACCAACATGTTGACACAAATCACCAGCGACCATCCAGTTAAAAACCCAACCCAACCTTTTGGCAGCAGACTAATTGCTCATGAAAGCCCAGACGCGCTGGGCAGGCCATGCTGCAAGGATGCCAGACCACCGCATCCCCAGACAGCTCTTCTATGGTGCGCTGTCTCAAGGAAAGCGATCGCACGGGAGACAAAAGAAGCGATGCAAAGACACGCTGAAAGCCTCTCTCAAGTCCCTGTTATCGACACCACCTCCTGGGAGACCCTGGCACAAGACCGATCGACATGGCGCACGCCGATCCAGCGAGGCTGCCAAGCTTCTGAAGCCAGGAGGACAACCACAGCACAAGAGAAGCGAGCGCTCTGTGAAGCCAGAGCCGCAAACGCTGCAACAATGGTGCCCACGCGTCTGCCCGACGTGTGGCAGAACACTCCGTGCCCGTATTGGCCTTATCAGCCACCTGCGGACACACCGTGGACAGCTCACAACCCGGTAGATGTCAAGGTCCTCATCGAAAACGATGGACGAACATTATCAGTTTGCACACGGAAGGCTGGCCTGCACAGAACCAACTTTCCCTGCTGGAGGGAAGGACGACAGAGTGGAGGCCAAACTGTCCTCCCTCAGCAGCAAGCTGGAGATTCTGGGGGATGTCACCAAGAAGGCCCTGTGTCGTGCCCATCACATAAAAAGCCTCTGGTAGGAGATAAGGAAGAGCTCAGTTGGATCGAAGGAAGGGTCCACCTGGCCAGCATTCTGCTCACTCATGAGCCACATAACACCCGGAAGAGGGACCGGAGTGCCACACACCCTCCCACCCATCATCCCCAGCCACTGCG